GCCATAGGGAACTCATTTGGATGATTTGGCTTTTTCATAAAGCTCAAATCAATTTTCTTTTTGAGCTTTGTTTTTTCACTACGTTTGTGGGTGTGGAGAGCATTTAAGCTTGTTTTGTACTCAACAGAGTTGATTACGCAAATCCAAGAAATTTTAAATAAGACGTAAACCCCCGTTTCACATAGACTACACCACAGACACTTCACCCACCTTGCCTGCTGGTGATGGTCAGAGGGTCCGGTGGTGACGATGCATGGCAGCATCGCCTCTGTCAGTGTGCCCCAGGGCAGCTGTGGCTACAATGTAGCTTACCACCATCAGTGTGCTAATATATGTGTATGAATGAGTTAATGATTGTAGTGTAAAGTGCTTTGGAGTCCTTGGACTTGATAAAAAAAAACTTTAAAACTTCAGGGTATTTATCATTTCTTCTAAAACAGATTTTAGCTGGTTCTTAGAGTATTTTATACATATTTTGTTCCCTGTTTTACTTATACTTTATGTATGTGTTAATAATATGCTTTTGGCTGGATGTTGTCTTGCTTTTATTGTGAAGCACGTTGTGATTAAATATCTATGAAAGGTATGCACATAAGCTTTGTACTTACTTTACTTAGAATTAGAAAAACTGACCTTCTCGTGCTTGGTTAGTCATAAGAACATGACTAAATTACAGAACCAGTTTGTTACACTACTTGATGAGGGGTGTGGGGGGTCCAGCTCTCATCTATCTGTTTTTCTTTGAGAGCCCACCCTCAATGATTGTAAAGAAATCTTGAAACAAATCCTGACAGGAATTTCCTTTTATTCTTTTTTTAACTTGCCTGTAGCTCTCCGGGGGTCTCGTTCCACCACTGTGTGTGTATCTTTTTGGACACAAATCTGTTTGTCTTCACGGCACTTCAAGCTGCGATGCAGAAGGGTGAAGATGGGACTGAAGTTGGTGGCAGGTTCACATCAGAGCCGAGGAAACTGCTTATCGTTTGAAGCAGAGTTTAAGACCCCCTGAAAGTGTGGGGAAGGAATACCCCGCTGGGGATTGTTTTATGGACTTCCCACCTCAACCTGCAGCAAGTTTATTTTTGTGTCAGCAGGACAACATTAACAAGCTTACAAGAAATCAAGTTAAAATGTTTTTGGTATTTTTTGTTTTTATTTGCTGCAAAGAAACAAGATATTAGTCAACCAGTAATGCTTTAAATCAAAAAGGTTAATATCTGCAATAGAGAGAATTCTTGTAATTACCTGTCTCTACGGGACGATCTTTATATAACTCATTAGCAATGTAAAAACGAAGCTAATTTACCAGTTTAGCTTGAAACTCTGAGAGACAGCTAGCTTTAAAAAGTAAACATAAAACACTGACAAATAAATTAAAGTGTTGTGAAGACAGGGTTCCTGCAGATCCTTAAAAAGTCTTAAAAGGCCTTAAATTCATCAATCCAAAAATAAGGCCTTAATTACCCTTAAAAAGTCTTAAA